CAAATGAAAATCAAAATACACAACCACTGTCCACAAGGAGTTTTATACCAGACACTGCACTCCCCAAATTGGGGTTTTTAGTACACTCTTCAGAAACAAAGTATGTATGTCTGGAGAAAAGAGTTTATAGATAAACTAGGTTGGTAAATGGTACATACAATATTGCTTCCTTCAAAATTCACAATGTCTAATAACACAGTAAAGGTTCCAAGGAATCCTGAAGTAAAAAGGCCTTACAAGGCCAGATGCAGTAGCTCACGCCTTTAATCCCAGCACTTTGGGAGGCTGAGACAGGAGGATCACTTGAGCGTACAAGTTTGAGACCAGCCTTGGCAACATAGGGAGGCCTCACTTCTATTAAAAATAAAAAGGGGCCAGGCGTGGTGCCTCAAGCCTGTAATCCCAGCACTTTGGGAGGCCGAGGCGGGTGGATCACGAGGTCAAGAGATCGAGACCATCCTGATCAACATGGTGAAACCCCGTTTCTACTAAAATACAAAAAAATTAGCTGGGCATGGTGGCACGTGCCTGTAATCCCAGCTACTCAGGAGGCTGAGGCAGGAGAATTGCCTGAACCCAGGAGGCAGAGGTTGCAGTGAGCCGAGATCGCGCCATTGCACTCCAGCCTGGGTAACAAGAGCGAAACTCCATCTCAAAAAAATAAAAATAAATAAATAAATAAAAATAAAAAAATTAAAAGAGGCTGGGGCGTGGTGGCTCACGACTGTAATCCTAGCACTTTGGGAGGTCCAGGTGGGTGGATCACATGAGGCCAGGAGTTTGAGACCAGGCTGGCCAACAAGGTGAAACCCCATCTCTACTAAAAATACAAAAGTTCGCTTGGCATGGTAGCAGGTGCCTGTAATCCCAGCTACTCAGGAGGCTCAGGCAGGAGAAGCACTTGAACCCAGGAGACGGAGGTTGCAGTGAGCCAAGACAGGGCCACTGTACTCCAGTCTGGGTGACAGAGTGAGTTTATAGATAAACTATCTCAAAAATAAATAAATAGGCTGGGCACGGTGGCTCATGCCTGTAATCCCGGCACTTTGGGAGGCTGAGGTGGGCAGATCACAAGGTCAGGAGTTTGAGACCAGCCTGGCCAATATGGTGAAAACCTGTCTCTATTAAAAATACAAAAATAAGCTGGGCATGGTGGCAGGTGCCTGTAATCCCAGCTACTCAGGAGGCTGAGGCAGGAGAATTCCATGAATCCAGGAGGCAGAAGTTACAGTGAGTTGAGACCACGCCATTGCACTCCAGCCTGGGTGACAGAGTGAGACTCCATCTCTAAATTAGATAGATAGATAGATAGATAGATAGATAGATAGATAGATAGAATTAGCCAGGCAAGGTGATACACATCTGTGATCCCAGCTATTCAGGAGGCTGAGTTGGGAGGAGGACCTGGGACTGGGAAGTCAAGGTTGCAATAAGTTGTGATCGTGCCACTGCACTCCAGCCTGGGCAACAGAGCAAGATCCTGTCTCAAAAACAAACAAAAAAAATGCCCATAATTTTTAAACCCATTCCCAAACTTATTTGGGCAAGAAACCAGTTTTTTGGTGCTTCCATTCTTCTAACAAGTGCTTTTGAGGCTAGACTACAGAAATGTACATTCACCTTTTTTTTTTTTTTTTTTTTTTGAGATGCAGTTTCACTCTTGTTACCCAGGCTGGAGTGCAATGGTGCGATCTCAGCTCACCGCAACCTCCGCCTCCTGGGTTCAGACAATTCTCCTGCCTCAGCCTCCTGAGTAGCTGGGATTACAGGCACGCGCCACCCTGCCCAGCTAATTTTTTGTATTTTTAGTAGAGACGGGGTTTCACCATGTTAACCAGGATGGTGTGATCCACCCGCCTCGGCCTCCCAAAGTGCTGGGATTACAGGCTTGAGCCACCGCGCCCGGCCTCCACATTTTTCAAAGATTGTCATCTCTTGCTTTTGTTGGATATTTGGGTTACAAACTGCAACAGATCTGGGTAGATAACTATTTATGGTTACTTCGATAAAGAAATTATTCAGGAACCTAGGCACATCAGAGAAAGCCCAAGTTAAAAAGGAAAGCCTTCAGAGTTGCCTTTTGTTCTGGGAAAGACTATGGGAATAAGGATTTCTTAAAAAAAGGATTCATCCTAATGAGTGGCAGATGACCTAGTGACCCGTACACGCTTGCTAATGTCTGTCAAGTCTTGACAGGAGACAAAATGAGTCAAAAGACTGTTCAGATCAAGAATATACTGTTTGTACTAGTTACACCCTGACCAAAGTACAGCAAAGAGAGAAAACAGGTTTGCAGACGATGTTTAAAAAATCAGCTGCCCTCGTGATCTATTTCAGCATTCTTATGGAACAGCATTTGGCACACTCGAAATCTATCATCATCAACACTGTAACATCTCTAGATGAGAACCTACTCAGATAAGGAACCTGAGGCAAAGCTAGGGCTCTGAAGCCAAAACAAACGGAAAAAGGTGGCTTTCGCCCTCCCATGAACCTTGGTCAGAATCTCCTCATCTTTTAGTGCCCTAGAGTAAAAGCACTACTTAGGGGGGCATTTATATCCTGGCAAACACTATTATGCCAGACCTGTTTGGTCAGTGATCTGTACAAACAGGCTGGAGAATGGAAAATGACTCAGGGCACAAGAAATCTTAACGTTTCTAAAATGTACAGAAACATTTTTTTTTTCTTTTTAGACAATATGACCTGGATGTTCCCACATTCAAAGATTTGCCTGAGGACTCAAGTCAAGACAATATCCAATTAAGTGCTTTAAAAATCAAACAACTAGGCTGTGTTGAAAGAACTAAGTCATTTTGACACCATCTCAAAAACATGGAGGCAAAGAAAGGTAGAATCCTAACTTACCTAGTGAGACAACATTTCCGTAATTCTCCTGCATAACATCCCTGTAAAGGTCCCTTTGTGCCGGGTCCAGAGGTCTCCATTCTTCCCGGGTGAGATACATGGCCATATCTTCAAACGTCACAGGTGCCTGAAATCACACAATGCTTCCTCACTATTCTGTATTTGGGACTTCTTGAAATTAGAAACATGGTTAGAAATACTAAGGAGGAAAAGATATTAAGTGTGATCTGTAGAGTCCAAAGAAATAAGCAAAAAAGAGATGTGGTAAAGAAGGGAGCAATTTATGAGTCGACTGCTGTGTCCCATGGCCAGCTATCCCTGCCCCACTCAAGAACTTTATCTTCTGGCTGTGCCTTTCTCAGGACACATCTGGCACTTGCATCACCCCATACCTTTACTCACAATGTTCCTCTTTTCCTGGAATATCCTTCTCCCACTAGTGAAATTCTACTGCTCATTAATGACCCGCTCCAGTACCAACTGTTCTTCAATGCCCCCTACCCCTCTGCACCGCTCCACTCCCCTTGGACGCCCCAGATAGACTTAGTCATTCCCACTTCTTGGGAGTGATTCCCACACTACAGCACTTTGTTCCTACAGCAAACAGAGCACTATCACGTTGTGTCATGCTCAAACGGATGCGTCTTTCTCCCTACAGGTTGTGAACTGTGAGCTGTGAGCTCGAAGGTAGCGCCCATATCGTCCATCTTTTATTTCCCCAGGATTTAAAGGCATACAGCAGGTGTTCGATATATGCTTGTTTGCGACTATAACGGCCTGGTATTAGGCCCCTGAAGGCAGAATATGGAAGCAAGCGAATTACTAATCCCAGGGAGTTTCCCACAGGGATTTGCAGAGAAACGCCGGACGAGGCGGGTAAGCAGAGACAAGGTCCGAGAAGCCACCCCTGGCTTACCTGGGACCCAGCCATGAGCAGGGTGGCTGCCATCTCCAGCGCAAGGATTCGCCTCCTGGGAGAGAAAGCAGGAAAAGCAGCTAGCAGACAGCGCTGAAGGAGGCGAAAAGCAGGGCGTGAGGCACGGAAAACAGGCCCTGCCCACTCCCCAGGGCTGGAGTTCTGGCCGTAAGGCGGGCAGGGAGGGCCCTGGACTGGGGCCGCGTTACTCTCCTCCCTGACCCTCGAGCGCGACCCGCCCTCTGTGTCGCGGCCACTGCGGGGTGGAGGCAACGCCAGAATCTACTAGGACAGCCCCCTGGCTGGGTCCCTCCCGCGCCGGGGGTCAGACGGATGCCGTCTCAGGGAGGAGGCGCTCAGCCCAGCCCAGGGAACGCCTCCGCTCGGCCATCTCGAGGCCGGGTCCTTTCCGGCAGCTGCCTCAGCCAATCAGCGAGTGATGCTCGTAAAACACTCCGCCAATCAGAGGCGGAACCCTAGGTCCCCGTCCCATAGCGTGGCCAAGAGCCTCTAGTACGCCTGCGCTTGCCCCTATGGCCTGCCGGGAGTTGGAGTTCTACTCCCGCGTACAAAAGCCAGCCAGCGGCCAAGAGCCGAGGAGGGAAAAGAACAAAAGAGTTAGAAGTAAGCGCGTCCTCCCAGTCAGGGCGGCGTATTCTCGCTTTCTTCTCATGGAGACTGCAGCACGATTAAGCCAAGGAGGCTGCGTGCTTCGCCTCCCGTCCCTAGAAGATTCTCTTGAGTCGGGCCTTATTATCTGCGAAGTCAGGCCTAATTTAGGCGCTGGCATGTGTTGAGTTGATCTAGAATTAGCCCTTGCTTGACAGCCCAGGTCGGAGAGGACAGCGGCAGCCGCCCACTCCCCAGGGGAGACTCGGAGGCCGCGCTCGAACTTTGAGCTCCGCCCACGCACTACATTTCCCAGCAGGGCCTGCGGTCGCACGGCTCTGCGCGGAATACAACTCCCGAGAGGCCCCGCGTCGCCCGGGCGGCTCGGGAGTGCGGTGTGCAGCTGAGTCTGGCGGTGTCTCGGCTCCGGCGCTTTAACCCTGTAGGGGCGTGCGACCGCATCCTTTTCAAGAGGGCGCCCCTTGAGCGGCGGACTGAGTGGCGCCCAGCGTCGGGGAGGCGAAAATCTTGGGGGAACTCAGCGTGGCGTTATAGGGCGTGTAAGGGGGAGATAGCCAGACCCCGGGGCGGAGGGCGAGCCCTCCTTATCGTCCCCAAGGACTTGTCTGCCACTAGGGCTGTTGGCGGCCTCCCGCACCGAAGGGACCGTGGGCGTCTGAGGCCTTAAATCCGGCGGGCCTTCAGGATGTTAGCAGTCCCTGTCTGGTTGAAGGTAGGAAGCCAAAAGCCCGAGTGGGGGACGAACAGACTTACCTCCTGTCCCTCAAAAGATCCGCTAGATCGTCGGCTCCAAAATCTGAGAGACCGCGAACGGATCCCAAACCACCAGCGTACTCTCAGACCTGGCGTTCGGAAAGATTCTAGAGAGCACTGGCAGGTCCCGGAGGTCTCAGACCCGCAGGTAGATCTCAAATCCGTAGACTTGCAGACGAAGCCCAGATATCGTAGGCAGATCCTAAAGACTAAGATTCCCGAGGTCTCAGAGTCCCAGGCAGTTGAGAGAAACCACAGGCTCGTAGGCAGATCCCTGAGACCACAGAGGCTGGCCAAGAAACCACCAGCAACTGCTGCATTCAGCTGGATCTCCTCGGACCGGGAGGACTCACAGCTTTCCCTTTCCCCAGCCAGGATGAGGGAACTAGACAATGGGAGCACTAGGGAAAGCAAGCATTCTGCGTGGGGAAGAGCTCCGAGCTCACTGTAGCCTTGGAGAGGGAAGTGATGGAAAAAGAATATAGCAGCTTATTAGGGACTCCCACCCTCTTCAAGTTATAAATATCCCCAGAACCTTGGCTATGTGCCCGGAAGCCTGTTGTCTCTTAACTGTACAGGAGACTTCTCTGCCTAGGCTGGGAAAGGGGCCTTTCTTTTGTTTTGCAGATAGATCCACCCACTGAGGAACTTGAAAATTTTTTTCAAACATAACTCCAGGCCATGCTTTTATTAGTGAGTGTCCTTTTCCCAGTGCCCAGTTACTTATGATTAAATTAGTCAAGTGTCTAAAAAGAACTAGAAGGACCCGACCCAGCCATAATGCAGACTTTTCCATTCCTTCTCTTTCCACCGGCAACTGTGGGGCTAGGAATTCTTCAGATGTCGCAGAATTATACCATCCTATCCCGTCTAAAATTGATCCGAGGCTGGTCCGATGGGTTACCAAAATGTAGTAACATTAATGTAAAGTTGTTCTAGAACCCCCCATTGCTAAATTTGACTGGCTACAAAAATAAAAATAAAATTGATTCAAGAAACACCTAAAATTGAATCCTGGAGGGTCCCCAAGAGGCAGTATCTCCACTGGAAAGAATGTGGGCCTCAAGGTCAGACAGACCTGGTTTGGAATCCAGGCTGTGTATCCTTTGGAAAGTCATTGAATCCAGGCCCATTTCTTTTTCTCTAAAATGAGGGTCATCATACCTAAGGATGTTGTGAGTCCTGAGTGAGATGATTAAAGGGCTCCAGAGAGTGTGCTCTTGGTTGATAGCCGTTACTTTATTAACCCTGGCTTTGGCGGTAAGAGAAACTTCCAGAAATGCTTGTGGGTATATTGGATAGTTAAGAAAATCTTGGAAATCAAAGTGGCCCAATAGTTGTGAGGATAAGTGGGTGACATTATCCTCACATTGTGTTTCTTCCGGAAATTCAGACGGAACAGAGGTTGGGCCGGTTTGGTGGCTTCAAGTGAGTGGGGTGTTGAGTCTAGTAGGGCATAGGTACTTGGGGCTGCCAAAACCCCAGCAAGTTGAGGCTTCAGGCTCAGGGAAACTTCTGGGTCAGAGGTTAATAACTGCTTCTTGGAGAGAGGAGGGTTACCTTTCAGACTAGCTGAAGTAATTGCAGGTTTCTAACTGGGCCTAAGGTGAGCTGAGGGCTTGAGCCCCTCAGCTCAGCGGGGTTCCCTTTTCATCCCTTCTCTTGACAGATTGCTTTGTAAACTTTCTTAGGCCTTCCCCCCACTCCTTTGCCCCAGTGCTTTAAGCCCTTCTTTGTCTTCTTGCTGTTTCTTTTATTCCTCAGGCCTGCAGGGCGGGGGCGGGGTGGCGCCCAGGACGACTCTCCCGGGCTCAGCTTGGCTGCCTGCCTCCTCCTGTAAGTGCTTTTTTCTTTCTTCACCTGGGAGCCTCCAGAGGTTGGAAAGAGCAGAGAGGCTGGGTGCGGATGGAAAGCATGACTGCATCTGAAGCCCCTGGGGGGAGTGGGGAAGAGGGAGTGGAAGGACAGTGGCTGAGGTGCTTCCTGTTGTAGCCTTCAGCTGGACTCAGGGTTGGGGTCACTGGAGGAGGAGGTGGCTTCCTGCTCCATTGTTCAGAACTGCAGTGTTTCTTGGGAATACTTACTGTATGTGGGTTTTCAGTAACCAACTTGGAAAGCTGTGTTCCTTCCCATGATTTAGCAAACAATGAATACCTACTGTGTGCAAAGACAACAGTACAGCCTGTCATCACTGGGCAAGAGGCCAGAAGAGCCATTTGGCCAGGGTCTCCATTTTAGGCTCTGGACATTATCTCTAAATAAGGTTAGACGGGATGTTGGATCCACTGGCCGATGTGATCAAAGACCCTCCTTGTATATCCTTAAAGCTACACTCTATTATCAGGCCACTGTGCCTGTGGAGCACTGTAAGTTCTTATATTTTAATAAATCTTATAATTATTTTGTCAGCAGCACAATTGTCATAGTTTTTCCTATCAAAAACATGAACTTGCTAAACATTTTTAAACGTGCCTTGATGTGTGTAATCCTGTTTTGTCATCTCTTCATTTTCAAACAGACAGGGCACCTCAAAAAGTCAAAATGACCTGGGCTTCTCATAACCCCTGCTAGGAGGGGTGATAAAGGCTCATCAGTGCACAGGGAGTTGGGGACATGGGGGGCACACTGACTTGCAAACAGTCATTGCAGTCCAAGTGCTATAATAAGGGGTGAGCTAGTCTGCACCGAGGAGGGGGCGGATTCCTAGCTGGCGGGGAGTCGGGGAGGCTTCACAGAGGAGGTGACATCTGAGCTGGTAAGACTGTAGGAGTCTGGAGGTGGAGAAGGTGGGAGGGAAAGCATTCCAGTCTTCAAGAACAGCATGTGCGAAGGCACGGAGGCGTGAAAGGCCAGAGCATGTTCCAGGTTGGTCAGGATTGGTTATGGCTAGAGGGAATGGTGTGGGGGTGGAGCAGCAGGGGGAGGAAGCAGAGCAGGGACAGTTCCTTATGTCCCCTTGCCTGCCTGCCTGCCTGTTTGTCTTTGCCTTTGACTGTGGATGGCAAAGCTAGTGATGAGGTAAAGATGGGGGAGGCCTCGGGACTGGCCTGGGGTGAGGAGAGCAGATTGACTCTGCAGGAGGAGGGGGAAGTGGAGATGATTGGGAAGCTCTTTATGACCTCATGCATTTCAGTTGGTTTTCTCCAAAAGAATCAATATTTTCCAAAAATGTAGACAATTGCATTAAAAATGCAATACAAGGCTGGGCATGGTGGCTTACGCCTGTAATCCCAGCACTTTGGGAGGCCAAGGCGGGTGGATCACGAGATGAGGAGTTCAAGACCAGCCTGGTCAGCATGGTGAAACTCTGTCTCTACTAAAAATACAAAAATTAGCCAAGCACAGTGGCTTATGCCTATAATCCCAGCTACTCAGGAGGCTGAGGCAGGAGAATTGCTTAAACCTGGGAGGCGGAGGTTGCAGTAAGTCAAGATAATACCACTGCACTCCAGCCTGGGTGACAGAGCAAACCTCTGTCTTAAAAAAAAAAAAAGCCATACAAAGTTATTTAGTATTATTTAGCCTACTTAAAGACATCAAACAGACCCATACCCACTGAACCCTATTCTGTATCAGCTGCTAATCTGGGAAATAGGACACCACCCCTCACAACGACTGCAGGGCTGCTGTGTGGATTAAATGTGAGAATGGTACAGAGGAGGGCCTTAGCACACAATGGCCATCACTATTACGGGGGAAGGGAAAACATCACAGATGTTCTGTGAGGTGAACATATTTCAAAGTGGCTCAGAGCATGACCTGGGCTCTGGGTTCAAATCCAGATTCTTTCTCTAAAAACAAATTACTCTCAGAACCTTGGTTTTCTTAGTCTGTAAAGACTATAATAATACAAATTCATTGAAAGTAGAATAGTGCTTTCCAGGGCTTCGGGGAGGAAGAAATGAGTTATTTAATGAGTATAAAGGTTCGGTTTGCAAGATGAAGAGTTCTAGAGACTGGTTGTACAACAGTGTGAATGTGCTTAACCCTACTGAACTATAACTTAAAATTGTTAAGATGGGCTGGGCGTGGTGGCACATGCCTGTAATCCCAGCACTTTGGGAGGCTGAGGGCAGTGGATCACATGAAGCCAGGAGTTGGAAACCAGCCTGACCAACATGGTGAAACCCCATCTCTACTAAAAATACAAAAGTTAGCTAGGCGTTCACCTCTAATCTCAGCTACTCAGAAGGCTGAGGCATGAGAATCACTTGAACCCAGGAGGCGCAGGTTGCAATGAGCCAAGATCGCGTCACTGCATTCCAGTCTGGGCGACAGAGAGAGACTCTTTTCTTTCTTTCTTTCTTTTTTTTTTTAGAGTAAAGTATTTCATTCTATTATTCCAAAAGGAGAGACTGTTTCAAAATAAATAAATAAAATTGTTAAAATGGGTTATGTTATATATATGTAGTTTACTACAGTGTTTTTAAAATAATAATAGTAACCTAGTTCATGAGGTCAGAGGGTTCTTTGAGGCAATCAATATAAAGTGCTACCCTGCACTCATAGTAATGACAATAGCTAACATTTACTAATCAGTTGCTATGTGTTAGGCCTGATTCTCCTGCTTTCTTTGTATTAACTAAATGAATTCTCACAACAACCCTTTGAGCTAGGAGCTGTTATTACCACTGTTTCACAGATGAAAGCAGAAGCATGCAGAAGTTGTATAGTGTGCCCAAGATATTCAGCTAGTGAATGCTCAGTGATAATAGATATTACTGACACCATCATACAAAGAAATTTTAAAGGAATCATCATCATCACGGTAGAATACAATGTGTGCTACGTTTCACGATGCTATGGGAGTTCTGAGGAACTATCTCATGTTGCTAGGGGATCAGAGACCTCATAAGAAGATGTACACTTGAGGTGAGTCTTGAAGAATGGTTAACATTTGGATCGGGCTGGGGAGAAGGAAGCAGTGCAGGCAGTCACAAATGGGAAGGCCCATGGGGTATTCAAACACAGGGCAAATATCTCCTTTAGCCTGGAGCATAAAGGAGAGCAGAGGTGGACGATGAAGCACCAAAGCCAAGCAGCAGGGGCCCACTGACACAATCAGAAATAAAAGCCTTCAGGACCCTCGGTTAAAAAACAAGGCATAGGGCATCTCTACAAATAAAAAAAAAATTAGCCAGGGGTGGTGGTGCACACGTGTGGTTAAGCTACTGGGAGGCTGAGGCAGGAGGATCAGTTGATCCTGAAATGTCAAGGCTGCGGTGAGCTGTGACTGCACCACTGCACTCCAGTCTGGGTGACAGGATGAGACCCTGTCCCCCCAAAATTTTTTTAATTAAAAGACAGAGATGTGTGTTTGGTTTCAGATTAACTGTATTTTTTTTTTTTTTTTTTTTTTTGAGATGGAGTTTCGCTCTTGTTACCCAGGCTGGAGTGCAATGGCGCGATCTCGGCTCACCGCAACCTCCGCCTCCTGGGTTCAGGCAATTCTCCTGCCTCAGCCTCCAGAGTAGCTGGGATTACAGGCACACACCACCATGCCCAGCTAATTTTTTGTATTTTTAGTAGAGACGGGGTTTCACCATGTTGACCAGGATGGTCTCGATCTCTCGACCTCATGATCCACCCACCTCGGCCTCCCAAAGTGCTGGGATTACAGGCGTGAGCCACCGCACCCGGCCAGATTAACTGTATTATAGTATTGAGAGGGTCACTGGGGTCCTTGGGAGGAAATATGCAAATAGGCACTTGGCAATATAAGTCTTGAGCTAAAGAAAAACTGGAGCTAATGAGAGATTTGGTAGTCTGGATGAAAATACTAAGAAAGACTTCTCATCCTATATAGTATTTTAGGTTCCTTGAACCTTTTGAAAGCACCCAAATTGACCATAGGATCTTGAACAAACTTCCATTCTTCCATTTTCAAGTTCTTTTTTGTTTTGAGGTGGAGTCTTGATCTTGTCACCCAGGCTCGAGTGCAGTGGCAATCTCAGCTCACTGCAATCTCTGCCTCCTGTGTTAAAGCGATTCTCCTGCCTCAGCCTCTGGAGTGGCTGGGATTACAGGTGCGTGCCACCATGCCTGGCTAATATTTTTGTGTTTTTAATAGAGACAGGGTTTCACCATATTGGCCAGGCTACTCTCAAACCCCAGACCTCAAGTGATCTGCACACCGTGGCCACCCAAAGTGCTGGGATTACAGGCATGAGGCACTGCACGCAGCCTATTTTCAAGTTCTTTTGGACATAATATTGTGGTGCGCTCTTTCATTCCAAGCCTATTGCCTATTTCACCTTACTTGACCTTTTTTCCTCCTGTATGGTAACCACCTCCCCTCCCCTAGGAAGCCTCCTTGGGGGGCAGAAGTAAATGCTAACTTGCTTGTAGCTCACACCTTCTTCATCTTTGGTTGTGAAGGAGATGGGGTTAAACCACGTGTTCCAGCCAACAGTGTGCGGAAGGACTGTGACAGGGAGAAGCACAGCGTGCGACGAAGAACTGAGAGAGGGCCAGTGTGACTGCAGCACAAAGTGCGGGGGCGAGGCACAGGCCAGCCCTGCAGGGCCTTGTAGACCTTGCCAAGAGCAGTGTGTGTGTGTGTGTGGGGGGGAAATGGAAGGTTTTAAATGGGTGTGTAGAGTGGGGGACTCTAAGGATCAGTTTTGCAATTTGGAAAAGCCTATTCCAGTTAGTAGTCATGGAGAGCATGAATTGGAGTGGATCCAGAGTGGACACTTAGACACTGGAAGGCCCACAGGGAGGGTTTGGGTGCCTGCTGATGACAGTCTGTGGCCTATCCATACTCTTCTGTGTCCTTTGGTGAATATGGATGTATACTGTATAGATGTGTGGACTTGAGCTGACTTGTTCTTTTGCTGTTTAATCTGATTCATCTCCTTTGTAAACAGTAAGGTGACTAAGTGTGAAAATTTGTTTGTTTTTTTCCCCATACTCTAAATCCCTATGATATGACACAGGAAACACAACAGATATGTAGAACATGACTACTGAAAATTGCCCCAGGGTGTAGAGTTAAAAAAATAAAAAACTCGGGCCGGGCGCGGTGGCTCAAGCCTGTAATCCCAGCACATTGGGAGGCCGAGGCCGGTGGATCACGAGGTCGAGAGATCGAGACCATCCTGGTCAACATGGTGAAACCCCATCTCTACTAAAAGTGCAAAAAATCAGCTGGGCATGGTGGCACGTGCCTGTAATCCCAGCTACTCAGGAGGCTGAGGCTGGAGAATTGCCTGAAGCCAGGAGGCGGAGGTTGCGGTGAGCCGAGATCGCGCCATTGCACTCCAGCCTGGGTAACAAGAGCGAAACTCCGTCTAAAAAATAAAAATAAAAATAAAAAAATAAAAAAAATAAAAAAATAAAAAACTCACCCAAGGCCAGGCGCAGTAGCTCATGCCTGTAATCCCAACACTTTAGGAGGCTGAGGCAGGCAGACCACCTAAGGTCAGGAGTTCAAGACCAGCCTGGCCAACAGAGTGAAACCCCATCTCTACTGAAAGTACAAAAATTAGCCGGGTATAGTGGTGCACACTTATAACCCCAGTTCTCGGGAGGCTGAGGCAGAAGAATCACTTGAAGCCAGGAGATGGAGGTTGCGGTGAGCCAAAACCACGCCACTACACTCCAGCCTGGGTGACAGAGTGAGACTCACTCTCAAAACAAAACAAAACAAAACTCACCCAGAAGTAACCTTTATTGGCCTTATTAAATTGACAGTGGTTGCTTTTTGTTCTGCTTTTGGTTTCTAGACATTTGGATGGAGGATTAGATAATATAGAGAAAAATCTGGATATCTAACTCCTTCCTACTCAAAGTATGGTCTATGGACCAGCTGCATTGGGGTTAGAAATGAAAAATCAGCTGGGTGCAGTGGCTCATGTCTGTAATCCCAGAACTTTGGAAGGCTAAGGCAGGAGGATTGCTTGAGCCCAGGAATTTGAGACCAGCCTGGACTGCACAGGGAGACCCCCATCTCTAAAAAAAATTAAAATATTAGCCAGGCATGGTGGTGCATGCCTGTAGTCCCAGCTACTCCAGAGGCTGAGGTGGGAGGATTGCCTGAGCCTAGGAGGTCAAGGTTGCAGTGAGCCATGATGGTGCTACTGCACTCCAGTCTGGGCAACAGAGTGAGACCCTGTCTCAAAAAAAAAAAAAAAAAAAAAAAAGAGAGAAAGAGAAAGAAATGAATAATCTCAAGCCCCACCCAGACCCATTGAATTGGAATCTGCATTTCAGCACAATCTCCAGTGAATTCTCACCTGTATTGAAGTTTAAGAAATATCTGGGTTTCTAAGCAACATCCCCCTGCACGTCTGTGGATAATATTGGTCCCTCAGATGTATGTGGCATTTATCACATCCCATCTGGTGTGGAAATCTGTGCCTATTTTCCCTGCCAGGCTGTGGCTTCCTGGAAGGTAGGGGCTGAGTGCTGTGTATAGCTCTGGATCTCTTATAGCACAATGACAGGAAGCAGAAGACCTGGGTTTCTGTCCTGCCTCTGCTACTTATGAGCTCAGTGTGTTGTATCATCTGTATGAGGATTTGTGATCTTTCCAAAGAAATGATTCACCCCAAATCTAACTTTTTAAAAATCAAAGATGGGCCTAGCGTGGTGGCTCATGCCTGTAATCCCAGCACTTTGGGAGGCCAAGGTGGGTGGATCACCAGATGCCAGTAGTTCAAGATTGGCCTGGCCAACATGGTGAAACCCCATCTCTACTAAAAATATTAAAAAAAAAAAATTAGCTGGCTGTGGTAGTGGGCGCCTGTGATATCAGCTACTTGGGAGGCTGAGGCTGGAGAATCACTTGAACCCAGGAGGTGGAGGTTGCAATGAGCCAAAATTGCACCATTTCACTCCAGCCTGGGCAATAAGAGCAAAACTCCATCTAAAAAAAAATTTTTTTTTTAAACCGTCAAAGTCAGGACCAGGCGCAGTGGCTCACGCTTGTAATCTCAGCACTTCGGGAGATTGAGGTGGGTGGGTCATTTGAGCTCAGTAGTTCAAAACCAGCCTGGCCAACATGGTGAAACCCCGTGTCTAATAAAAATACAAAAATTAGCTGGGTGGTAGTGGTGCGTGCCTGTAATGCCAGCTACTAAGGAGGCTGAGGCAGGAGAATTGCTTGAGCCTGGGAGGTGGAGGTTGAAGTGAGCCAAGATTTCACCACTGCACTCCAGTCTGGGTGACAGAATGAGAACCTGTCAAATAAGTAAGTAAGTAAATAAATAAATAAATAAATAAATAAAAATAAAAGTCAAAGTCAGTGGAAGACTCCTGTACCTAGTGTATTTCCAGGCTTCATCTACAGGAGCACTTTTGGAAGGAAGAAGACAGTAACCAATTCTAGAGTAAATGATGTCCAGGGTATGTCAGGAACTTGGGCTATAATTGCCCCAACAGCTTCCTCAAGGTTTTTCTAGAAGTTTTCGGCTTTGCTGAAAGTTCCTGTCAGCATCAAAAGCAAGCCAAGGCCCGGCAAGGTGGCTCACACGTTTAATCCCCGCACTTTGGGAGGCTGAGGAGGGGGGATCACTTGAGCCCAGAAATTTGAGACTAGCCTGACCAACAGGGTGAAACCCCGTCTCTACTAAAAATTCAAAAAATTAGCCAGGCTTGGTGTCTTATGCCTGGGACTCCAGCTACTTGGGAGGCTGAGACAGGATAATTGCTTGAACCTGGGAGGTGGAGGTTGCAGTGAGTCTAGATCGCACCACAGCACTCCAGCCTCTAAAAAAGAACAAAAACAAAAACAAAACAAGCAAGCTGATAATTATCATGGGAGAAGCATGGCAAGGTCCCTGTGCCCTGCAGATGTCTTCTGAAGCTCACGTCACAGATGGAGCTGTGAGGGACACACTGATAAGGGCCTGGGCAGATTCAGAGGCTCAGGACTTTTAAGGGGCCATGGAAATCAGGGTGCTGCTGTCACCTTCACTCAGAAAGCCTACCTCAGGAGGATCTGTTCCCTGCCTAGAGGGATATGGCTTCGGGTCCTGAAAGGGATATGGCTTCGAGTCCCACAGCCAGCTGTGAACAGGGAATAGCAGAGAGTTGGGGAAGAGATAAGGAAACAGTAGGGAAGAAATATTTCCATTAGGCCAGTGCAAAAGTAATTGCAAAAACTGCAATTACTTTTGCAGCAACCTAATACATGGTATGAAAGGAACATCTGCTGAACCCAAATGGTGTACCAACTGTTCTGCATGTGTGACTATGAGGTGGGGGTGGGTTGACGTTTGTGTTGATCTAGCATTTTTCAATTCAGAAGAGGCTGGGAGATCCAGGTGGGAGAGAAGGAACTCAAAGCAAAGATCTGCCAGCCCACTGTCAAAGATACCACACCTCAGGTCTGAGGCGCAGCAGTTTCTTTATTTTTTCTTTTTCTTTTATTTTTATAAAGATGGGATCTGGCTATGTTGCCCAGGCTGGCCTCAAACTTCTGGGCTCAAGCAATTGTCCCACCTTAGCCTCCCAGAGTTTGCAGATTACAGCCATGAGCCACCGTGTCCAGCCCTCTGCAGTTTCTATAAGAGGTTCATCAATATGGATTCTCAGCATCACACCCCCAGCAAGCTTCCCCTGTTAACCAATTGTTAGTAATGACCGATTATTAATTTGCAAGATAATTATTCCTTCAACTCATACCACCTATTCAGAGTTCAGTATTTTCCTTTACTTTAATTTTTATTGCTTCTCCAGTTCAGACAGTTTAGTGCTTCCTCTTTGTTCTTCCTCACCTTGTTCATGTCAGTCCTGGCTGTTCCATCAGCAGAACTACAAAACCAAAAAGCAACAAAATGTGAAAGGTTTCTCTGCATCCTCCAAGCAGGCTGTGGGGGAATATGAAAAAGAAGGTGGGATCTGGAGCCACACAGACCAGAATCCAAAGCCCAGCTCTACCATGATTAGCTGGGTGATCTTGACTAAATCACTCACCTAGTAAAATTAGCTCATAATGCTGGTGAATGCAAGAGTGATATCAGGTAATAACATGAATGGCAATTCAGTGCCAGGAATGTGCTGGGCTCTTAATTTATGATCAAGAACATCACTGGAATGACTACTAAGCACTTGGTTAGACTTTCAGTCTCCCACAGGGCAATGGACACCATCTGAAAATGTGTCCAGATGCCTGTAGTTGTTATCTCTAGTGGATCCTGTCTCTCCAACCAATAAGAGTCAAGGAGGAGGAGCTAGATTTAGAGCATTCAGAATGTCTTTTCTCCAGCAGCAACAAAATCGCAAGAGCTACATTTATTGAGCATTTACTCTGTGCTAGGCAGTATTAACATGTACTAACTCATTTCACCCTTACAATCACTCTGTGAGGTAGGCACTATATCACTCCTTTTTTTTTTTTTTTTTTTTTTTGAGATGGAATTTCACTTGTTGCCCAGGCTGGAGTGCAATGGGGAGATCTTGGCTCACCACAACTTCCACCTCCCAGGTTCAAGCGATTCTCCTGCCTCAGCCTCCCGAGTAGCTGGGATTATAGGCATGCACCACCACACCCAGCTAATTTTGTATTTTTAGTAGAGATGAGTTTTCTCCATGTTGGTCAGACTGGTCTTGAACTCCCGACCTCAGGTGATCTGCCCACCTCGGCCTCCCAAAGTGCAAGGGATAATAGGTGTGAGCCACCGGGCCCAGCATATCACCGGGCCCTTACCTATTTTTACAGGTAAGAAAGCAGATCAGGCTGGGTGTGGTGGTTCACGCCTGTAATCCCAGCACTTTGGGAGGCCGAGGCCAGCAGATCAGGAGGTCAAGAGATGGAGACCATCCTGGCCATGGTGAAACCCCATCTCTATAAATAAAAAAGAAAAAAGAAAAGAAGAAGAAGGAAAAAGAAAAGAAAGCAGATCAGAGAGGTTAACTGACTTGCCCAAACTCCCATAATACTAGTAGATGACATACCCAAAATAGTAAGAATAGTGATTTTTATGTACCAGGCATGTCTTTGCTCAGGGCTTTTTTTGTATTGTATAATTTGTTGACTGCACAAAAGAGCCTGGCCAAAGGTGCATGTTGAGGCTGACACTTAGCTCCTGCTCTGTTTGCTCTGCACCCTGGCATGAGGCTGTGTTGCTTGGAGCCTTCCTCCAAGCAACACTTTTTCCTAATTTGAAAAGATGCCATATGAGCTCTCAGAGGCCTTCTCAAAACAGCTCTGTGGGCTAGATATAAATACCTTCATTTTATAGTTGAGGAAATCCAGGCTTAGTGAGTTCAGGTCGCTGAGCCAAGTCACTTTGTAAGGAGTAAAACTAGGATTTGAGCCTGCTACCAAAGCCTATGCTTTAAACCAGTAGGCCACTATACTGACCCCATCCCTAAGTGCTCAATAAGTGAAAAAAGAAAAAATATGTAATCATCTAGTTTTTACTTTAATAAATGTGGCAGTTCTGGGTGGGTGCAGTGGCTCATGCTTATAATCCCAGCACTATGGGAGGCTGAGGAGAGTGGATCACAAGGTCAGGAGTTAGAGACAGCCTGACCAACATGGTGAAACTCCGTCTCTACTAAAGAAATACAAAAATTAGCAGGGCATGGTGGCATGCACCTATAATCCCAGCTACTCAAGAGGCTGAGGCAGGAGAATCACTTGAACCTGGAAGGCAGAGGTTGCAGTGAGCCGAGATCGCACCACTGCAGTCAAGTCTGGGTGACAGAGCAAGACTATGTCTCAAAAAAAAAAAAAAAAAAATGGCAGTTCTAATGAGGCCCCAGTAAAGGCTACTGAGGTCCTTAGTAAGAAAGAAAAAAAAAGAATTGATCAGGAAGTTGGTGCATTGGCTTTCAGTGTTTTAAACTGTGGCTTTATGCTTATTAACTATTCTGTAGTTCAGTTTCCTTGTCTGAAAGTGAGAATAACATTATAAAGGAACAGTTCTTGTCATTGTTTGCAAAGTGTTTATGCTTACATAATAATGTCAAAATGATCCTCATGATGATCATGTCAAAATGATCCTCACATCATAAACCCTGGGAGAAAGGCATTATTATTGCTCTTTTGCTGAAGGAGGTGAGTAACATGCTTAGGGTGAGTAGGGCAGCATGGGACCTGAAACCAGGGATACTGACTTGCCTTGCGCTGCTTGCTAAGTACCTGAGAACTTCTGGAGCACCTGCAGCATCACATGGTGCACATGCAAGTCCGATAGCAATTGGAGACTGACATTAGTCATATGACCACACTCCCTTCCTCCAGGAGACTTGGCAGGAAGGAGCACTCTGGGAGGAGTCTTTGCTTGGCTCCCATGCGTGAAAACAAAACCTCTGCCTTTGCAGGAGCCGAGGCAGTCTGAGCTACAGCCTTGCGTAATGTAAGACTTCCAGAGCTTCCTCAGGAGGGGAGGGTGACCTGGTGGCATTTAGGGTCAACTCATTTCTGACAGGGCTCAGCCTTCCTGTCTCCCATCCCTGGCTGTGGCCAGGTTCAAAGGAAATACCATCTGGGGAAGCACTTTCCAAAGAGGCGTGGTCCAAGTGCAGAATGTTATTGTTTTTCCTCTCCTCTGTGGATCTCAGGAAGCCAATTCCATCTGTGCTCAAATGACAAACTTGCTCATCCTGTGATAAAATGTGGGCTGCTGCCCCCACTCCAGCTTGGTGTCTTTCCAAAATGAAAACATACATGTGTGTTCTCTCCTCACCTTCCCAACAGCAAGCCACCACTATCTCTGGCTCTGCAGGCTACCATGCATAAGGCCTCTTCTGGGTTGTGGGAATACTACTCCTTATGTGGGCAAGGTCTATGGCTGACAGGGAAGGGGGGAATATATAAACATACAGACCTTCCAGCGATTGCCGCATTCATTGCATAAGACAAAGGTCGTCATGGGCTCATCAGCACTGCGTGTCTGCACCTGAGAGAGAGAAGAACCATTCATGAAGTCACTCCCCTGCTCCAGGACTTGCCATGGCTCCCACTGTCTTTGGGAGTAGGTCGAAATCCCAGAGGTTGGCACTAATATTCCCACCCCACTTTGGCAATTTCCTTATCACTGACAACTCCATAATGTATGCCTACCTCTCTTCTGGCAGTCCATCAGCTCACTCCCAGTATCTCACTGGTTTTTTGCACTCTCACTGTTTTGTTTTTTTTTTTTTTTTTGAGACTGGAATCTTGCTCTGTTTCCCAGTTGGGAGTGCAGTGGTGCGATCTTGACTCACTGCAACCTCCGCTTCCTGGGTTCAAGCAATTCTGCTGCCTCAGCCTCCCGAGTAGCTAGGACTACAGATGCCTGCTACCACGACTAACTAATTTTTGTATTTTTAGTAGAGGTAAGGTTTCACCACGTTGGCCAGGTTCGTCTAGACCTCCGGACCTCAAATGATCCACCCACCTCGGCCTTCAAGGTAGTGCTGGGATTACAGGTGTGAGTCACCGTGCCCAGGCTTTTTTTTTTTTTTTTTTTTTTTTTTTTTTGAGATGAAGTGTTGTTCTTGTCACCCAGGCTCAAGTGCAATGGCAAAATCTCTGCTCACTGCAATCTCTAACTCCTGGGTTCAAGTGATTCTTCTGCCTCAGCCTCCCGAATAGCTGGGGTTGCAGTTGCCCGCCACCATGCCCGGCTAATTTGCACTTTCACTCTTGTTGATCTTTCATAACAGATCTCTCTTCTCTTGCCTCAAGACTCATCTCCTACAGGAAGTATTCCCTGACTCACCCGTGAACATCCCCTACTGGACATGCTCACTTGAGTGAACTGGAAGCAGCCTTAGCGGTCTAATTTATCTTCCTTATTTTACTGGTGGAAGACCTGAGGCCCAGAGAGGAAAAGGGACTTAAATATCATTGGGACTATTTAACGTTATATTTTCTAGCCTCATCACTCAGGTGCAGGAACTGGGTATCCCACAATAAAGCCCTGACACTCCTGTCACCCAGGCTGGGTCGCAGTGGAGCAATTGTGGCTCACTGTAACCTTAACTCACTGTAGCCTCAACCTCCCAGGCTCTAGTGATTCTCCTGCCTCATCGGCACCGATTTCTCCCCTCACCTGCCCTGCCGCACATTCAGTAGCCGGGACTACAGGCACACACCATCAAGCCTGGCTAATTTTTGTATTTTTAGTAGAGACGGGGTTTTACCATGTTGCCTAGGCTGCTCCAAGCCTAGGCTCAAGCCATCCACCTGCCTCGGCCTCCCAAAGTGCTGGGATTACAGACAGGAGCCGCTGCACCCAACCAAGCCAAGAGAATTTTAACCCTTTCTCCCCTCTGGCTCTTCCCTAAGCTTCTCTCTGGTTTTCCACCTCTACGGCCCTGCAGCCCCTTCCCCCTTGGACCCGTCCCCTCACGGTCCACACCTGGTTATAGGTGCAGTTCTTCTTCTTGCATTTGCTGCACTGGAAGAGGTCAGTGGTGGTGCCGCCGGTCTTGGCCATCTGGTGCTCACGGATGGCCTCCTGGGTCATGGCATTCCTCAACTCCCTCAGTTCATCACTGGCCATTTCCTGGAGAAAATAGAGTCTGCCCTTCAGGACTGAGGAGTCGCAGGGGCCCTGCCCCACACCAGGTTTCTAGATAGCCTGAACAGAAGAGGAGGTAACATGCTTTATTGACTGTAAGGAGCTGGAAGGAGGCCTGGATTCCGGGTCCTGCCCCAGTTGGGAGAAAGCTGTCCCCACAGAGTCCCCATGACGCCCATGGCTGGAAGGAGAGCAGCAGGCAAACAGCTTCTGGCTGAGGATGGGCACTCCTGTATATATTTCTTCAGATCTGGGGCTCATCTTGCCTGCCAGGATGAGCAGAACCTTGGCCTGAACCTTACTGCTTGAGCTGACTTGATCACTGCCCACCTGGTCTATGATGTTCCCCTTAGCTTTCCTCTCTGGACTTGACCCAGTGCCCTTTTACACTGTGATCACTGCCCTGCTGTTCTGCTTAGTGGGAATCTTGGCGCAACTACCTATGACTTGCTGCTGCTATCCCCTCCCCGAAGATCCTGGGCTCACACAACTAACTGCTCCTCTGTGAGCATCCACCTGAGATCATCTTTTTCTGAGAGTTTCTACAGAAGAGTCTCCAGTCTCCCACCAGCTCACGGTAGACACTCCATGTCTGCATCACCCATGCCTTTGCCTTCTCTGTCCATCTCCCTGGCCACGTGTCTCCCCTTAAGCCTCTGCCAGAGGAGAGCAGAGAGGGGGATAGTTAAACTGCAGAGAGCTCCAGTTAAGGGTTGGTGGAAGGGGGAGGAGGATGGCTGATGCTAATGTCAAAATGAAGATTTTAAACTTTTTTTTGAAATGGAGTCTCGCTCTATCCCCAGGCTGGAGTGCAGTGGCATGATCTTGGCTCACTGCAACCTCCGCCTCCCAGGTTCAAGTGATTGTCTTATCGCAGCCTCCCGAGTAGGTGGGACTACAGGCAAATGCCACCATGCCCAGCTAATTTTTGTATATTTAGTAGAGACGGGTTTCACCATGTTGGCCAGGATGGTCTCGAACTTGATAAAATGCAGATTCCTATGAATCTGAATTGCTGAGGGCAGGCCCAGGAATATGCATTTTTAAAAGTTATTTATTTATTTATTTATTTTTGGGACAGAATCTTGCTGTCACCTAGGCTGGAGTGCAATGGTGCGATTGCAGCACACTGCAGCCTCAACCTCCCTAGGCCAACCGATTCTCCCACCTCAGCCTCTCAAGTAGCTGGGACTACAGGCATGCACCACCACACCTGGTTAATTTGTGTATGTGTGTGTGTGTGTGTGTGTGTGTGTATTTTTTGCAGAGATGGGATTTTACCATGTTGCCCAGGCTGGTCTCCTGAGCTCAAGCAATCCACCTGCTTTGGACTCCTGAAGTGCTGGGATTACAGGCGTGAGCCATTGCACCCGGCCAGAATATGCATTTTTCCTAGTGTCCCCAAATTATTCTGGTACATATTAATGTTTAAGTCCTAGCATGTTAATTTGAAAGGCTGGGCCATAACCAATGGTAGGTGAATGTAGAAAAGTTAATAAAAGTCATTTACCCATATGAGTAAAAAGTAGCTAACTTTAATTTGGGTGGATTTTCCAGAGCATAAAGCATTTGCCCACTCAAAATTTATTGGATGTGGCCAGGTGGGGTGGCTTATGCCTGTAATCCCAGCACGTTAGGAGGTGAAGGCGGGTGGATCACCTCAGGTCAGGAGTTTGAGACCAGCCAGACCACCATGGTGAAACCCCATCTCTACTAAAAATACAAAAAATTAGGCGGGTGTGATGGTGGGCGCCTAAAACCCCAGCTACTCTGTAGGCTGAGGCAGAGAATCACTTGAAACTGAGAGGTGGAGGTTGCAGTGAGCCGAGATGGCGCCACTGCATTCCAGCCTGGGCAACAAGAGCGAGATTCCATCTCAAAAAAAAAAAAAAAACTAGCTGGGCGTGGTGATGCATGCCTGTAATCTCAGCTACTCAGGAGGCTGAGGCAGGAGAATTGCTTGAACCCAGGAGGCAGAGGGTGCAGTGAGTTGAGATGGCATCACAGCACTCCAGCTTGGGCAACAGAGTGAGACTTCATCTCAGAAGAGAAAAACAAAATCTGCTAGGTGCGGTGGCTCACGCCTGTAATCCCAGCACTTAGGGAGGCCAAGGCGGGTGGATCATGAGGTCAGGAGTTCGAGACCAACCTGATCAACATGGAGAAACCCCATCTCTAGCCAGGTGCAGTGGCGCGTGCCTGTAGTCCCAGCTACTCAAGAGGCTGAGGTGGGAGGATCGCTTGAGCCCGGCAGTTCTGGTCTGTAGTGCACTATGCTGATAGAGTGTCCACACTAAGTATGTCATCAATATGGTGACCTCCCGGGAGCGGGGGACCACTAGGTTGCCTAAGGAGGGGTGAACCGGCCCAGGTCAGAAACGGAGCAGGTCGAAACTGTGCTGATCAGTAGTGGGATTGCGCCTGTGAATAGCCACTGCACTCCAAATTGGGCAACACAGTGAGACCCCGTCTTTAAAAGAAAGAAAGAAAGAAAGAAAGAAACCCCATCTCTACTAAAAATGCAAAATTAGCCAGGCGTGGTGGCACATGCCCGGCTAATTTTTTTTTTTTGCATTTTATTTTATTTTATTGCATTTTAGGTTTCGGGGTACATGTGATGAACATGCAAGATTCGGCTAATTTTAATAATCTCAGCTACTCAGGAGGCTGAGACAGGAGAATCGCTTGAACCCAGAAGGTGGAGGTTGCAGTGAGCGGAGATTGCACCACTGCACTCCAGCCTGGGCAAAAAAAGCGAAACTTTGTCTCAAAAAAAAAAAAAAAAAAAAAGAAAAGAAAAAGAAAAAGAAAGAGAAACAAAATCTACTGGATGCCAATTTATTCAGTGCCTTTAACTATATTGGTTTGCAGGTAAATCCACTTTGGCTGTGGGGATGCCTTGATTTGTAGCATTTGTCAGCTTCCATGGTGCAAAATGCTCCCATCATGGCCAATTTCAAGCTGCTAATGTGATGTAACTGAATGCAGAGTTGGGAAGAGCTACACATCACCAGCTCCCTTGAGGTGGTAGAAGCTAGCTCAAGCATGCTACTGCCTCTGAGTCCAACGGATTCAGAAAGGAAGATCTGGTTCCTCCTCCCAAGTAGTGCTAATATGGTAGGGTAGCCAAGCATTTACACAGGATCACAGTATTGCAAGAAAGGGAAGGAAGTACCAAAGCAAAGGTATATAAGCTGCAAGGTATGGGGGTTAATTGTTTGGGGTCTGAGGGTCATGAAGAAGCTAGTACTTTAACCAGTCTTGAAAGATAGGAGTTCCTGGGGTGGGTGATGGCACATTCCAGACAAATAAAACAGCAGGGCCAGGTGCGGTGGTTCATGCATGTAATCCCAGTACTTTGGGAAGCCAAGGAGGGCAGATCACCCGAGATCAGGAGTTTGAGACCAACCTGGCCAACATGGTGAAACTCTGTCTCTACTAAAAATAGAAAAGTTAACCAGGCACAGTGATACATGCCTGTAGTCCCAACTAATTTGGAGGCTGAAGCAGGAAAATCGCTTGAACCTGGGAAGTGGAGGTTGCAATGAGCTGACATTGTGCCATTGCACTCCAGCCTGGGTAACAGAGCCAGACTCCACCAAACAAAACAAAACAAAAAAACCCACAAAAAAAAAAAAAAAGAAAGAAAGAAAGAAAGAAAAGCAGACACAAAAGATTAGAGGACAAGAATAGCATGTTTGGGGAAAAGTATTTGGGGTAGGTTCAGGTCGAGTGTGGGAGATGTGGCTGGAGGTCAGATTGTGGAAGGAAGGTCTTGTGTGCCAGCTAAGAAATAGAGAATAGAAAAATCTATCCAGCCACACACCAATCCATTTACTTCTCTGCCCTGCCTCATTAGAATGAGGCATCATCAGAAACACAGAGAGTAAGTACAACGCTGTAAAAAATAAGGTAGAAAATGAGGGAAAGGTGAGTCAGAGACCACGCTGGATCCTCATATTACATACACTGTTGGAGAATGGCACCAATGTGAATTCAATGTCTATTTGTTGAGCCCCATGATGTGCCAGACACTGCTCTCAGTGCTGGGTGGTCTGTGAATGCCAGTCCTCATGGGACTGACAAGATGGCATGTCCACTCAGCAGTGCTCATAGGTATCTCAGAGCCTACTCCATTCTTTGCTATGTCTGGGTAGGGAGGAAAAGAGATGGAAGAATGAGGAAGTCAGACAAACAAGGAGAGAGGCATAAAAACGCAATCAGGGAAGGAAATGCTGAGAGAGACACTGTCCACACGGGTCCTGATGGGAGCTTCCCAGCACAGCAGGCAGCCGAAGCCCAGGCTCAGATTTTTCTTTCTTTCCTTTTCTTTTCTGTTTTTCTAGACAGAGTCTCACCCTGTTGCCCAGACTGGGAGTGCAGTGGCACGATCCGTGCTCACTGCAACCCCCACCTCCCGGGTACAGGCAATTCTCCTGCCTCAGCCTCCCGAGTAGCTGGGACTACAGGTGTGTGCCACCATGCCTGGCTAATTTTTGTATTTTTAGTAGAGACAGGGTTTTGCCATCTGAAATTCCTGAGCTCAGGAGATCTGCCCACCTCAGCCTCCTGAAGTGCTGGGATTACAGGCATGAGCACCGCACCTGGCCTGATTTGTAATGGAACAAAAATTGTCCTGTATCTCTTTTTGAATTATCCTGCACAGGGCAAAAGATGACCCAGGATGAAGGTCTCCCGATATTCACCTGTTGAAATCCTAACCCCAAGGCGATGGTATTAGGGGGTCTTTGGGAGGTGGCTAGCTCTTAAGGGCCGAGCCCTGCTGCAGGGGACTAGGGCACCTCCAATAGGGGCCTGAGAAAGGCCCCTCCACCATATGAGGTCACAGTGAGAAGATGGCTGGCTATGAGGAAGCAGGCCCTCACTAGACACTGAATCTGCTGGTGCCCTGATCTTGGACTGTTCAACCTCTAGGAATTCGCAAAATAGGCTGGGTGCAGTGGCTCACATCTGCAATCCCAGCACTTTGGGAGGCCGAGGCAGGCAGATCACTTAAGGTCAAAAGTTTGAGACCAGCCTGGCCAACTTAGTGAAACCCCATCTCTACTAAAAACACAAAAATTAGCCAGGCATGGTGGTGGGCACCTATAGTTCCAGCTACTAAGGAGGCTGAGGCAGGAGAATCACTTGAATCTGAGAGGCCGAGGCTGCAGTGAAAAAAAGATTGTGCCACTGCACTCCAGCCTGGGCAACAGAGTAAGCCTCCACCTCAAAAAACAAAAAACAAAAAACAAAAAACAAAAAAAACCCAGCAAACAAGAAAAGAAATGTGAGAAATAAATGACTGTTGTGTATAAGCCACCCAGGCTATGGCATTTTGTTATAGCAGTCTGGACTGACGAAAGAGACACTGTAAAGCCAAGTTGCAATTTATAACTCCAGGCATATGTTGCTATTTACCTAAAAAGATCGGATATTTTAAATTAGGCAGAAAGATAACCCTGGTCTACCTGTGCCAAGTTCCCCATTTCATCCTAAAGCCAAGGCTCTTTGTTGTTTGTTTTGGGTATTTGAGGAAAGCAGTGAACCCTCTCCTCCAAAGAATGTACATCCACACGCGACATAACACAGATACGCACTTCCACACACCACACATACACAAACCACACAGGACACACATATACTAATCATACACATACTTCACTCAGACATCATACACACACACTTCACACATCATACAAACCACACACACACTCCATATGTTATACACAGTGCACACACTCCACACATCATACACACCACACACAATCCACACATCATACACACCACATACACATTCCACACGTTATACACACCATACACACTCTCTACACATCGTACACACCACACTGCACACATCATATGCAACACACACACAGACACACTCCACACATCATACACAGTGCACACATCACACACAGTGCACACATCATACACACACTCTACACATCATACACACCATATACACTCCACATATCATACACAACACACACGCTCCACACATCATGAACACACATGCTCCACACATCATACATACCATACACACTCTCTACACATCGTACACACCACACTGCACACATCATACGCAACACACACACACACTCCACACATCATACACAGTGCACACATCATACACACACTCCAAACATCATACACACACTCCACACATCATACACAACACACACGCTCCACACATCATACATACCACACACACACTTCACACATCATACACAACACATACACACTCCCCACATCATACACACCACACCACTCCACACATACACACACACTCCACACAGCATACACACACTTTCCATACATACACCACATATGCCCCACACAACATACACACCACACACACTACATGCATCATACACATACTCCACACATCATACACACTGCATACACTCCACACATCATACACAACACACACACTCCACACATCATACATACCACACACACTCTCCACACATCATACACAACACATATACACTCCCCACATCGTACACACCACACCACTCCACACATACACACACACTCCACACAGCATACACACACTTTCCACACAGCATACACCACACACACTCCATACATCATACATGCATTTTCCACACATCATACACCATACACACTCCACACATCATACACACCACACACACTCCACACATTATATATACCACACAGATATACTAAACACCAAACACACTTCATACATCATACACACCACACACAGTCCACGCATACACAGCCCCCACACCCCACACATCATATACACCAGTGGTCCCCAACCTTTCTGGCACCAGAGACTGGTTTCCTGGAAGACGACTTTTCCACAGACGGGGTAGGGGATGGTTTCAGGATGATTCAAGCACATTGCATGTATTGTGTACTTTATTTCTCTTATTATTACATTGTGATATATAATGAAATAATTATCCAACTCACCAAATCAGTGGGAGCTCTGAGCTCCCTTGTTTTCCTGCAACTAGATGGTCCCCACTTGGGGTAATGGGAGACAGTGACAGATCATCAGGCATTAGACTCTCATAAGGAGCGCACAGCACAGATCCCTCGCATATGTTGTTCACAATAGGCTTCGCGCATCTATGAGAATTTAGTGCCACCACTGATCTGACAGTAGGCGGAGCTCAGTCAGGAATGCCAGCAATGGGGAGCGGCTGTAAATACGATGAAACTTCACTCGCTCACCCACTGTTCACCTCCTGCTGTGTGACCTGGTTCCTGACAAGTACCAGCCTGTGGCCCAAGGGTTGGGGACCCCTAATATGTACCATACACACATGCTCCATACGTACACACCACACATACTCCACACACATACATACCACACACACATCCCACCTATACACATATACCCCCTACACACCTCACACATCATGTGTACCACACAGACACACATGTACACCCACACACACTCCACACACATCTAGCTCTGGGGCCAGACAGCTTGCCTCCTAGGCTTCAACCCTTTCTAGCTGTGTGCATGGGCAAATCAGTTTACTCCTCTGAGCCTCAGGAGCCTTATCTGTAGAATGGGAATAATACACCTTCTATCTCAGCTGGTGTGAAGGTAAACTTGGCCAATTCGCTGAACACATTTAGCACAGCACTTTTTTTTTTTTTTTTTTTTTGAGATGGTGTCATGCTCTGTCACCAGGCTGGAGTGCAGTAGTGCGATCTCGGCTCACTGCCTCTGACTCCTGGGTTCAAGTGATTCTCCTGCCTCAGTGTCCTGAGTAGCTGGGACTACAGGCATGTGCCACTGTGCCTGGCTAATTTTGGTATTTTAGTAGAGACAGGGTTTCACCATGCTGGCCAGGATGGTCCCAATCTTCTGACCTCATGATCCACCCGCTTCAGCCTCCCAAAGTGCTGGGATTACAGGGGTGAGCCACGGCACCTGGCCAGCACTTATAACCTATTAGCTGTGTTCAGGATCCTGCTAGTCCAGAGCCTGGTGGGGAGGCTGAGATGGGGCTGGTTGGAAAAGCTCCCTGGCTCATCGCTGCTGAGTCACAAGCCACTGCCCTTCTGCATTGGGCAGGGCTGGGGGGACCTGGCTTCCCGTTCCACCATGCAGACACCCTGCTCTCACCTCTGCCGTCATCTTGGCTATCAGCCCTGCAGAGATGGCTCCACTGAGCACATTTCGCCGCAGGCCGGGGTTCCTGGGGTCCTTGAGGTTGCTGATGCGGCTGCGCACGCGGTTCCGGTACTTCATGTCCGTGCTCTTGAGCTCTTGGTAGATATGTGATTCAGTCAAGGGCCAGCCAGCCACTCATGGAGGGGCACAGAAGGGTGTAGGCCTGGCCCTGAAGCCTGAGGAGCTCCAGAACCCTCTCTTTCTCTCCCTGGACTCCTACAGGGGTTGGTCCCCTCTTTTGTGACCTCTGACTCCCCAAGTTGGGCATTTGTGGTCAGCCAAGTATCAGAGACAAGAAACAGCCTCTGGGGTAAGATCAGATCACAGCAAGCACTACAGTGTCAGGGACACCGGGAACAGGCAGCCTGGGTTTGTCTGAGCCTCTTGTGTGACCACAGGTGAGGTTCCTTATTTATAAAATACAAGGATTCCGGGAGCTAAGCCACATGGTGCACTAGTGTGGTGTCTGGGACATATCAAATGTTTAATATGTATGGGCTGTTAAGATGATGACAAGGATGTGGACAGCCTCTAGTCTGGAAGGGCCCCTGGAGGTTGCAAGTCCAGCTTTCAGAGGAAAAGATTAAGAGCCACATGTTTAAGGCTCTAGGAAGAATTGCAAAAAAGAAATCACTGAGCTTTGTTTAATCTGGTGTTCCCAATAAATTTGATTATAGAGCCCCTTTCCCCTCCGTCCTTTCTCCTACAATACCTGTTACCATCCCATGGAAACTGCGCTGGGAATTGCTGGTCAGAACTACTTCTTCCATTAATAGATGAGGCTTAGAGAGGGTGCAGGCCCTTGCTCAAGGCCACGGGGCAAATTCCCGGCAGAGACAGGGCTGAAAGCCAGACCCCTCCTGCCGGTAACACTCTCTCCACTCACCCCGCAGGAAGTCACCCCTGGCCACCAACCACAGTGAGTTTCTGTCCAAACACTGCATCCTGGGCAAGCTTTTGAGCCTCCCACTCCCTCCACCCTCTGGAGGAGCTCAGGGAACGCAGCCTCATTTTCTTGGTCTCCTGAGCCAAGGAAGATCAGGAAGACAAAGCTGTTGCTGGGGAAAACCATCTACAAGAAAGAGACTGCGGGGAATGTGGAAAAAGGGAAACAGATGACTCGCTAGAAGTGGTGGGAGGGGAGGTGGTATTCTTTCTTTCTTCTGTTATTGTCTTAATGTTGTTTGTACAATAAAAGTGTGAAAAGCAAAGAATATGCCACAATGCATGTGAAAGCCAAAAAATGTGTTTGAAAATGTGCCACTCGGGATTCCTGGGGTGTGTTGATCTGTGGGGGCAGAAGGGCTGGTGGGACTTTCTCCAGCCTCTTCCTGACTCCTTCTCCACGTCCCAAGGCCACAGGAGGGGAGGAGGTGGAAAGCAGACCCAGAGGTCACCGGCCCCTCAGAAGAGCTTTTGGCTGCTTTGTTAGCACAGAGCCACTCCAAAGAGGACAGATCTATTTTAGGACACAGAGCAGTCAAGCCCCCAAGTGTGCTCTCTCCCTGACCTCCAGCTAGCTGAGAACAAAGAGCTACAGCGTTTGATGCAGCTTTTGTTTCCTCTCCTTTAGAGGAGGGACACTCAGGCCTTGCACAGTGACTCACGCCTGCAATCCCAGCACTTTGTGAGGCTGAGAAGGGCGGATCACCTGAGGTCAGGAGTTCAAGACCAGCCTGGCCAACATGGTGAAACCCCATGTCTGCTAAAAATACAACAAAATTAGCCGGGTGTGGTGATGGACACCTGTAATCCCAGCTCCTTGGGAGGCTGAGGCTGGAGAATCACTTGAACCCAGAAGGCAGAGATTGCAGTGAGCCGAGACGGGGCCACTGCACTCCAGCCTGGGCAACATAGCAAGACCCCATCTCAAAAAAAAAAAAAATGAGGAACATTCAGTGGATAGAGGAAAGGCTGGGAGTAGAACTTTGTACTGGTCCATCTGCTGTTACTTCAAACTGGGCTTGAAGGTGGAAAGGACCTGCTTGAAGGGATGATTGTTCAGGACAAAATGAAGATGAAACTCACGATCTATCTGATACCTTGTGCTCTGCCTTCCTGAATTAACAGGAAAGGATAAAAATGTACTTTCTGAGGTGCTGAATGGCTCCAGACTTGTTGAGGTATTGCTGATTAATCATTAAATGGCAATGGAGAGAAACCACCGGAAAATGAGTTGGAGGGAATGAGGGTAGGCCACAGGCAGGAGGTGGAAATGCAGGTTTGTTGCCTGCAGATCAGCCCATGGTCCTCCCCAGCAGACCCTGCTGAACTCCCCAGGTAGAACCCAGGAGCCCTCAAAAGGGTCAGTCACACCTCAGTGTGACACCTAGACTTCTTTCCCCTGATTGTCTCCCTGCTCCAACACCCTGCAAACCTTGTCTCTAGTAAAAGAAGCTCCATGTTTTCATTCAGTGGGGGCCAAAGGAGGAGGGATTTTTTTTTTCTCCCAAGCCAAACATCCTTTGGTGCAACAGATCTATTAATATATCCCAGTGGTGGTCACCTCTCCTGTCTACACAGGGCCCCTTTCAGATGAGAAGTTGGGAAGAGGAGGCACATGGAAAGGGTTCAGTACATGGAATCCAAAGACCAAGGTCTCCAGTCCCGCTTTGATACCCAGTAGTTCTGAGCCTCAGACTACTTGTCTGTAAAACGGGAATAGTCTCTGCCTCACAGAGAATGCTGTAAGAGCTAACAGAGGTGGTGGTAACTGTCAATTGGCCATTGCAGTGCTTGATATATATTTGGGAGTTAAAAAAAAAAAGGAGTGGGGGTGGGCACAGTGGCTCATGCCTATGATCCCAGCACTTTGGGAGGCCAAGGCAGGTGGATCACCTGAGGTCAGGAGTTTGAGACCAGCCTGACCAACATCGTGAAACCCCATGTCTACTAAAAATACAAAACTACCCGGGCATGATGGTGCATGCCAGTAATTCCCTCTACTTGAGAGGTTGAGGCAGGAGAATAGCTTGAACCCAGGAAGCAGAGGTTGCAGTGGGCCGAGATTGTGCCATTGCACTCCAGCCTGGGCAACAAGAGCAAAACTCCGTCTCAAAAAGAAAAAAAAGAAAAGAAAAGGGAGCTATTAACATCAGAGGACAGGAGAAGGGGAAAGGCTGAGCCTGGGAAATGCTGACCTCTCGTTCTAGTCTGTTCTGAAAGGTAATGACTTGACCAAGTGAGGCATGCTATTACACAGTCTAGCTGGCACAGCTGCTGAGCCCCCTACTTTCCAGAGTCTGGGTTCAGATCCCATCTCTGCTACTACTGTAGCTGTATGGGCTTGGGGGAATGATTTGAGCTCTGTAGGTCTCAGTTACTTCACCTATGAAACTGGAGACATCAGGGAACCTACCCTGTGGGGTTATCAACACTGAATGAGGTACTGCTCATTTTCAAGTTTTGCTGACAGGTGTAAAACATTAATGAATGTTAGAATTAAGAGCTCTGGTTCAAGGGCAGAGCAGGGGCTGTTCCTGGAGCCCTTCCTCTCCTTCCTCACTGTCCCAGCTCGCTTGCACCTTGGGGAGCTGCTGCTAGATGGTCCAGACACCCACAGCCCCGGCCCAGTTCAAGGATATGATCTTCGATTTCTGATGCCATCTTGTCACAGTTGACTCCATAGTCCTTGTAATCATCTAAAAGAGATTTGAGAAATACGGGCATCAGCCAGACACAACCTAGGCAGTGCAACCTGCTTATACTAGAGTGTTCCTGTACCATCCCCTGGAATGCTGAGGAAGACTGCATCTCACCTGTCTTTGGTGAGATTGGGAAAAGGAACCCCTTTTCCGCCCCCATCCCTAGCCCAGGCCCTCTCACCATCCGCCTTCAGGGCTGCTGACAGCATCTCCACACACTTGTCCCGGACAGAGTCTCCTGTGAGATAGCAGGGGGCCAGGAGGCAGATGGAGGAGGCAAACGTGGGGGTCAAGGGGCTGCTAGGTGTTTTGGGACTCTCCGCTTTTGATTTGCTGCTGTTTGATCTGAGGGTGACAGTCAGTAACAGACATTTGACATTAAGAGAGTAAAGCATTTATTGAGCAGCACAGCATTCTAGATGTCTTGATGGATGATCTCCTATAATCCTCATAACAACCCGATGAGGTAGGTTCTATTTTAGGCACTTGATATAGATCATCTCATTTAATCCTCGTGACAACTCCGTGAAGTCAATACTATTCTTATCTCTATTTGAGAGACACATTTTAAAGTTGCAGTGTAGAAAAAGATGTATCTAAAGGTACACTTGACTCAGGTCACACATTGATGAACCAGTAGAAACAGAATTCAAAGCCAGGCAGTTGGCTCTTAACCAGCCACTGTGCTTTACTCATTAGAGAACAGTGTGACACCACCAATAATTATATGCAACAGATTATGCACTGTGCTAGCTGCTGTCTATCTGTGCTCTCATAAATATATGAACGTTTATTCACACATTCACCTGATATTTATTAGACACCTATTCTCCAGGCCAAGAACAAGGGATAACGCAGACAAGTCAGCAGAGCAACCTTCCCTGAAGGAACTTACAGTCTAGTGAATAGTGACTATCCACCACCATTTAAAAGGGCTGGCTTTACTAGATGCCAGAACTGTGCCAGGCACTTTACAAGCATTTTCTAATTTAATCTTCATAGCAGTCCCAGAGGTAGATACACTCATCATCCCCATCTAAAGGTGAGGAAATAAACCCAGAGAGTTGCAACACTGAGATTTGCCCAAGTCTATACACCACCACGGTTTGAACCCGCACCTGTCAAATTCCACACCTATGCTCTTTTTATTAATTTATTTTATTTTTTGAGGTAGGGTCTCTCTCTGTCACACAGGCTGGAGTGCAGTGACGCAATCATGGCTCACTACAGCCTTGACTTCCTGGGCTCAGGCAATCCTCCCACCTCAGCCTCCAAGGAGCTGGGACCACAGGAGCATGCCATCATGCCTGGTTAATTTTGCATCTTTTTGTGGAGATGGGATCTCACCATGTTGCCCAGGCTGATCCTCAAACTCCTGGGCTCAAGAGATCTACCTGCCTTGGCCTCCCAAAGTGCTGGGATTACAGGCCAATACCAGATTACCCAGCCAACACCTACGCTATATAATCTAGGATGTACTATCTAAGAGTGATCTCGCTCTGATTTTGTTTAAAAAATATACACATATGCATGTATGCACAGATAATTAGAAGGCTAACTATGTGGCTCAAGCTATCATAACAAAATACCAAGCTGGGTGGCTTCACTATCAGAAATTTATTTCTCATGGTTCTGGAGGCTGGGAAGCCCAAGATCAAGTTGCTGGCCAATTTGCTTTCTGATGAGAGTTCTCTCTTTGCCTGTGAATGGCAATCTTCTCATTGTATTCACATACAATAAGAAGTGTATGTGTCTTTTCTTATAGGGACGATAATCCTATTGGATCAGGGCTCCACCCTTATGACCTCATTTAACTTTAATGAAGGCCTTATCTCCAAATACAGTCACAATGGGGTTTGGAATTTCAACATATGAATTTTAGGGGGTCACAAACATTCAGCCCATAACACCATGTTAATAGCAATTATCTCTCCGAGATGGAATGACAGGTGATTTTCATTTTCTTATTTTGCTTAGGCCTATTTGCTAAATCTTCTATGAAGAATATATCTACTTTTGTGAAGAATATATCTACTTTTTTTTCTTTTTTTGAGAGGGAGTCTCCCTCTGTGACCTAGGCAGGAGTGCAGTGGCATGATCTTGGCTCACTGTAACCTCTGCCTCTCGGTTTCAAGTGATTCTCCTGCCTCAGCCTCCTGAGTAGCTGGGATTACAGGCACATGGCACCATACCTGGTTAATTTTTGTATTTCTTTTCTTTTTTTTTTTTTTTTTTTTTGAGACAGAGTCTCGCTTTTTCACCAGGTGCAGCTGGAGTGCAGTGGCACAATCTCAGCTCACTGCAACCTCCGCCTCCTGGCTTCAAGCAATTCTCCTGCCCCATACTCCCAAGTAGCTGGGACTACAGGCATGCGCCACCATACCCAGCTAATTTTTGTATTTTAGTAGAGACAAGGTTTCACTATGTTGGCCAGGATGGTCTCAATGTCTTGACCTTGTGATCCATCCACCTGAGCCTCCCAAAGCGCTGGGATTACAGGCGTGAACCACCTCGCCCAGCCAATTTTTGTATTTTTAGTAGAGTTGGGGTTTTGCCATGTTGACCAGGCTGGTCTTCAATTCCTGACCTCAGGTGATCCACCTGACTCGGCTTCCCAAAAGGCTGGGATTACAGGCATGAGCCACCATGCCTGGCCAAAAAAAAGCATTATTGGCAGAAATGCATGGAAGTGTGGAAGACCAAGGTTTGCATGGGCAATGTTGAAGGGCTCAATGCAGCTGGAGCATGAGGGTGAGGGAGCCTGTAAGAAGGTGAGGGAGTTAGAAAGAAAGGATCTGACCAGACTCTGGGGTTTGTTAAGGATGATAAAATAAAAGCCACCATTTACCACAGGTCTGCTGTTTATTCTTCCTGATAACCTAAAAGTCACAAATTACTAGGCCCATTCTATAGATGACGGAAGGGAGCCTTCAAGAAGTGAAGTGTGTTGGTCCTCCTGGGCTCAAACGATCCTTCCACCGCAGCCTCCCAAGTAGCTAGGACTGACTCCAGGCAGATGCCGCCATACCAGGCTAATTTTTTTTTTTGCAGAGATGGGGGTCTCAATATGTTGCTGGACTCAAACTCCTGGCCTCAAGTTATCCACTCGCCTTGGCTTCCCAATGTGTTGGGATTACAGGCCTGAGCCACTGTGCCCGGCATGACTTCATGATAGTTGCACAACTCCCTGCCTCCCGAGATGTTTTTTCACTATTTTTAGGGTAAGAGCCAGGAAGTCAAGAAGTCTCTGTCTTCATTCCTCTGCTCTTCTCACCTCCTTTTTCAATAACCCATCAGAATCTGCCAGCCAGCCCCTATATCACTACTCAGGAAAAAATGAACTCATCAGAGTTGAAAAATTAAGGTCCCCTCCTGGAGTGAAATTAAGACCCACTCGAGGGTCTTACCGCACTGAGTCCTTGTGGAAGCACCCAGAAAGCTGCTGCACTTCCTCACTCCAGGAGGCACCATTCACATTATTAGCTGGCTGCCTCCTGGAATTGTACAGTGCACAGCCTGGGCAGCTGCACCAGGCAGCTTGGGCCCTGGATCCATAGCTGCTTCCCGTGTTCACTTTCAGGCTGTGGACATGCTACTTCCTTTCAGGAAGAAGAGGATTTTGGACTTCTGACGAAGTTTTTCAGGCCCAGGGAGTTGTGTCTGAGAGTGAGGCTGACTGATTAGCTCAGGCTTCTCGGGATCAATAACCCAGAGTTACCAGAGAATCCCACCCAGCATCCTGCTGAGCACAGCTCAGTGTGGACTCTGCTGGTGACTTCCCTGCCTCTTACTGTTTAGCCTGATCTTGGATCCCCTCTGTCATTCCTGACTCCTGGATTTTTGGGATTTTTGCATTCTCTAGAGACTTGAGGTTCCTCAAAGGTGTCTCTGTGCATACCGGTGAGGTGGGCTGGGGATGGTAAGCTCTGTTCTTATAAGGTTTACATTTTGAATTTCTAAAAATTTTGTCCAAAGGGATTCATTTCCTAGCTTTTATTGATTTATTTTCAATGCAGTTTGAAACTTACTGTAGTAGATTAATCTAGCCTTGATGCTACCCAGCCCTGCCTGACAACTGGGTTGCCTGGCAGCGTGGTAGAGGGACAGGGAAGCTGAGATCCAAGCAGATTTCTCCTGGAGTCATTGCAGCAGGAGGGGACAGTTTGGCTGAGTAAATGCTGGAGAGGGGGTGAACTAGTGGGGCTGTCAGCAATCAAAACAGACGTTCCTGACCCCAAGCCTGGTCCTGGTCACTGGGTTCCCACCTGAACAGTCACAATAGCTGGCTTCCCTGTGTCCTCTTCCTCCATTACAATCCATTCGCCAAAGTGCAGCCAAAGGGACTTCTCAAAATTCACAGCTGATCAAGTCACTCTCCTGCTTCTAACCCTCTAACATACGGGTTTCCACCCCCCAGGGCCATGGACCGGCACCAGTCTGTGGCTTGTTAGGAACCTGGCCACACGGAAGGAGGCAGGCCCTATTGTAAACTGTCTGTGAGAGATCTAAGGTGTACACTCCTTATGAGAATCTAATACCTGATGATCGGAGGCGGAATGGTTTCATCTTGAAACCATCCCCCACAAGCCCTGGTCCATGGAAAAATTGTCTTCCATGAAACCAGTCCCCTAGTGCCAAAAATGTTGGAGACTGCTGTTGTAACAGCTTCTAATTATTTGCAGCATAAAGTAAAACTCCTGGATGGGTATGGTGGCTCATGCCTAAAGTCTCAGCACTTTCAGGGACTGAGGTGGGAGGATCACTTGAGGTCAGGAGATCAAGACTAGCCTCGCCAACATGGCCAAACCCTGTCTGTACTGAAAATATAAAAATTAGCTGGGTGTGGTGGCGCACGCCTGTTATCCCAGCTACTTGGGAGGCTGAGGCAGGAGAACCGCTTGAATCCAGGAGGTGGAGGCTGTAGTGAGCTGAGATCATACCATTGCACTTCAGCCTGAGTGACAGAGAAAGACTGTGTCTCCAAAACAAACAAACAAACAAAAACAAAAACAAAAAACTCACCACAGTCTGCCAGCCCCTCCATGTCCTGCCCTGCTTTCTGATGTAACCTCATGCCAGGCTTTCCGCACAGTTTACGAAAGGCACCCACAGCACTGCTTCTTTCTGTTCTGTAAACACACCCATCCCTCCCATGGCCGGGCCTTTGCACAGGCTGGTCTTCCCTCCTGGAATGCTCTACCTTCCCTCACAACCTCAGCCAAGGCTGATGGTCCCCTCCTGTAACTCTCTAGCACATCACCTGATTTCTCTCTTTTACAGCACTTACCCAAGTCTATGATTAACTTGTTTATGCGTTTATAAACATTGCCTGCCTCCATCTCCAG